GGGTAGCCACAGTATCCATGGGTTAACATTTTTTATACGACTTTAAGTAGGGGCTCGAAATTCGCTGTGACTCTTTAGAGCCACTTTTAATGGTCCAATGTCGTCATGAAAATTATAATGCCTGTCAATCTGTTTCTTGGCGGACCATGAAGACGTCCTCTTGCAAAGTATAACTTTTTGTCTTTTTCGAACTCGCTCTTCGATTGAACGCCTCTATCTAAAGGTGGGCATCAAACTGTGGGCATACCGAAACCCTGAGGTATCTTCTACTTTGCTATACAAGCAAGAACCATTCCGGTGGTCGTCCGGCTCATAAAGTCATCTTTTGGGCCGACCGGGCCAAGGGCTTTGTGTGCCGCTCTGTGGTCACTTTGCTAAAACTGACTTGCATCACGATGTTAGGTTCAAGGTTTAAAAAAGGAAGACTTTGGGAAGATGAGAAAAAAAAGAAAAAACTGTCTTTGCGAACTGGTAGCTGAAATGGTCTGAACGCAGCCATCGTAACGAACGGTTGTACTAGTCAGTAAAAAGGGGGCTTTCCGATGTGGTACCTACTTAAAAAAACAATGCATTTATGAGAATATGTATTAAATTAAAACTAAGTTGAGCTAATAATTGGCATTTAGGAGGTTCGTCATCGTCTATACGTGCTTTCAAATTGGAAATTAATGGTACCGACAAATGTTTTGTATTCAATGTCACCGATTCCGAAGATGCTGATGATTCAGTTTCGGTCAGCGGCTTTACTCTTTTTGAATTAAGTGCACTTATTTCTTTTTATATTACTTATTTATTTACTATGATATGTTATTTGCTGGGTGGAAATTCGCAGGGTACGTTCGTTTTCTGAGCCTGAGGAGATTCTTTCTCAGGCTCAAAAAGTTTTCTGATTCACTTTCTCAACACATCTCATTTCTTTTGCAAGATGGATTCTGAAGGGGCCAAGGGGGTACCTATAAGGGTAATCGCCAAAACTTAACGGCATGCTTCCTACTTTAAGGAACACCCACGCATTCAATTTCTAGTCCAAATTAATGACGCATCGTTCCATAGGTTGGAAATCATCGTCGTTCAAAGTCAGACAAGTTTTTGAAGCTTGTCTTTACTATGTCATTCCAATAAGCCGGAAGCATTTTCTCAAACATCACATTGGCCGGGCGGAGGAGGTGTAGTGGCAAGAGGCGCACCATATCACACGCACGGTCAGGGGTTCGAATCCCGGATCGATGCCCGCCTAGGCCAACCAAGCCTTCCATCCCTACGGGGTCGGTGAATTGGTACCAGACGCGTCTGGGAGGATAAAAGCGCTGACTTGTACATCGGCTGGCCACCGCAAGTCATTGTATAGGCCACATACGCATTCATTACGCCCCTACGATTCTGAGTGGAAGTCGATTGCGAGGGCGCATCCCTCAGACGGGATTGATTAACGCCAAAAACTTTATCCTTTATCCTTTATCACATTGGCAGCGTGATTTATTCAGTACGATGATTTGCATTTACTTCTTGAAACTATTGAATGTGAGAGCCAGAATGAATTATTAACAGACCATAACCGACCTGTCCAACAGTGGTTACAGGATTCCACCTGGTTTGAGTCAATCCTTGAAAGAGAAAGAGGATAAATCCTATCCAAAAAAATTCAATACAAATGATTGTCATCCAGAACACAGAAAATCTTCTGCGTTTCAGCCACGTTTCCATTTCACATCGGAGAGCCTGTTCGATTTTTCTGAAGTCTATCGGATTACTCTCTATAGTCTGCCTAAATCACAGAATCGAACACCGACGGTGATAAAGGAGTCGCGTATGCCAGCAGATCCTGGTAGGAACTTTACAATTTTCAAATTTTAGGACAACTAAGTATTTTATATTATACATTGATCCCTATACATTGATTATCATTTCCGTAATAAAGTCTGAGGGAGCACAGGTTAAATGTTTCTCCGCTCAAGAAATGATTGAACAATTTGTAGTTTTTAGGAGGTTCACAAGTTATAAAGAACCTCGAAAATTAGCTCAGAGCTTAAGAAGGGCCACATAGCCGTCGCTGTTGCTTTAGCAAAAGTGAACGGATTGGTTTTGCATGGGCTCTGAGTTCATCATATCTAAGATAAGGCAGGTCTCTCTCTGTTAAAAGACGTACGTTTGGAGGCGGTCGTTCCTGTATAAACGTCATTCCTTGCCTTCTGTAGCCCCGTCTGCCAAACTTTTTCCGCTCTATGATTAATCGGGATTCAGCCTTCTCAGCAGCTTGCCTACACAAGATGACCTTAACACGAAGTAGGTTTTCTAGTGTCCCGCACGTAGTTTAAGAGTTTCTGGGTGAGTATGTGTATGGTAGTCCATTGTTTCTGAGACACTATACTCTCTTAAAATTCTCTTTGAAAGCGGGCATCTTGTCCTTATGCCTCTTACCAGATCTAAGGGAACTTCCATGACTAACTGCTACCTTTTAGGAGTAAGCTGAATCTTTGTGTCGTTATTTTTCATCTTGATAGATCCTGTCGTTCTTTCTGAGATGACCTTTTACAAAACTAATGCTTACTGTATACTTAAATTTTTCAGTGTTCAACTACGTCGATGACCAGAAAAATGTCTCACAATTTTGCAAAACTCACGGTACGTCCGTTTGTTGTTTTATTTTTTTTATCCCATAAAAATCGACTATGTAGATATTAACAGCTCCCAGAACATGATTTTTAGCGCTCGCTACTACTTCCGGAAGTCGGACGGGGTTTCATTTTGCTCTTCAAAGTGCTAATAGCTGACCTGAGATCAAGCCATTCCACTATAAGATAAGCTTTCCAGAGGATGTGACTAAAAATTCAATAATGAAGCATATTTAAAAGATGGGATCTGTATACTGGTATAGCCAAACTCATGTTTTCAAGAATGTGGGTCCCGGGTTCCCGAAGAGTTTCCCGAGGAACATATGAAGAGCTTCTATGATATTCCATGTTCTGTGCTTATTGATTGCATTACTTCAGGAGACGGGATTGACAGGGTTCAAGCATCGCTTTGGCCGTTTTAAGGTCGAATTTGGTAGCTGTGTCCATCCAATCTCCTCTAGTGAATCAAACAATCTAATCAAGCTTTCTAAAGGTTTACACCATCACGAAAACAGCATATACACGACCTCGCGTCTGGTGGCTTTCTGGAACCACCCAAAATCCATCTTAATGACTCCTTCTTATAAGGAAGATGAGCAACGATTAAGGGGCAGTATAGAAAGAGTCAGAATTAATCCATTTAGTTAATGAGAAACGGGCAGTACTGCGACTGTGCTTTTGGCCATAGTTGTCTATGGCCTGGAATATTTCAAAATGAGTAAATGTTCGGTACCTATCCGAATTCGAACATAGGAAACTAATAGTCGACTACGAAGTTGTCGTCGAGGAGAACACACATGATAGTGATGTTTCCCCGAACCTTCTCTCGTCTTTGAGCTTTTGGCTAAATACACGTTTGAAGCCGTTGCTGGCTGGCCGTTGCTAGACGGCAGCAATTTTCCTTTGAGTCCAGTGGACGCTTTTTCGAGGTTGTGCACGTAGCAGCTATCGATCTCTGAATAACGTCTTCAGGCTGGCAAAAATGAGCTCTCCCAAATCGTTATTTGCTCGGCAGGAGGAGAAAGAGGGACAGAGGCACATCTTCCTTCTGACTCTCTTTCTGACGAGCTTCTGACTCTCCTTCTTGAAGGGAACGGAGAAGCTCTTAGAGGAAGTGTGAACTTAATCGGAATGCGACTAATTCAATAGGGTCCCTCGGATGGCAAGCATACCATGATCAGACCTTCAGTGAATCCTGTAGAAGCTGTACAAGTGCTGTCTACAGCCTTTGGATGACTCCCTTTCGTCTGAGTATGTGCAGGTGATTCTGCAGTTTGCTAGACCGTCAACAGCTGTCTCTTCAATATCTGATGAGAACAATATATAAAAACGCTCCGAGACGCCAACGCAGTGATGGTGCTGAAAAATGAAATTTCCTACGCAAACATTGAAGAGCAGAGCAAATATTTCTTGAAGAAATATTTGTCCTGCTTTTTTTTCTAAGTGGTGATTGAACACAGGGGAACTCTTGGTTCATGGCTAACAGGCTTCTCACTCAGTCAAGAGAAATTTACTTGACTTTTTCTACCACAAACTTACGAAACGATGTGGAAGGATTCATGACCGAGGCAACGTTTCCTCCTCATAACCTTAACTACTCATCACCGTAACCCATTTTTTCGAAGTTAAACGAATGATCATTCGGTAGGGGATTTACATCCTCCGGGAATCAAATCCTTCTCCTGTACACGCTTGGATTTACCAAATCTTCTTTATTTCTGACTTGTGCTATGATTGTATGGGATGATAATAACACAGTTTAATATCGGCTTGCTTCCACAAGTCATTGTTTTGACCAAGTGCTCATTTAATACCGTCCTGGTTGAAAGTCGAATACGTGGTGCATCCCTAAACAAAACTCATAAACGCCTGCAATTTCGATATTGATCCTCATATGAAAGCTTATGAGCAGTGTAAGCGCTAAAAGGGGAATCACCTCATACATACCGAACTAGCTGACTTCTTTACTGGGATATATGGCCCCCAGATGTCCTATGATAATTTTTTGCTGATTCAAAAAAAGAATCCGCTATCAATTTCAATTAATAAGGATGGGATGAGGTTCTAACAAGTATACAATTTTATATTATTCAAACAGAACACGATTTTAAATACTGCAATTCCGTCGGCTAAGCAGGTGGTGAGCCCTGGTCAGCCCGGTAGATGCTACTACTGTCGTCCCGGTGGATTGATTTGAAGCCTCCGATGAAGGCAAAAATCGCTGAAACGTCGGCCAACGGAATCGTAATATTTGAGCTCGTGTTTTGTTTGTATAAAGTAAAAATGCATTGGAATCATGCCGAGGTTCATCGAGAGTCGAACATGGCGTCTAAGAAGTATATTCCCATTCAGCAAGTGGGAGATTATCACTATCACTAAGCTGCCATTCGAAGAATCCTGTTATAGCTGACATTACTCGTACGGGCGTTTGGTTTTTTGGTCTTGTCGATCGGCTGCCGGACACTTCTAGTAGTTCCTTGTTAGTCAGTGACTGCCCCGCGGGTGTCTAAATACCCATGGTGCACTTAGTCGCGGAACGATCGAAGGTGACCAAGTGGGGGTTGGTGCCAATTGCAGCATCAATCAGATACTGCACAAGAGATGCATTATGGTTCAGTCGGGGTTGTAAAATGGAACATCGTGGGACGAATGCATGGCGCATCCTTGGGGTAATAGAAAGATGGCAGGAGATCAATCCTTTTCATTGTTTTAACAACTTGCTACTAGCTTTGTATATCTGCATCATGTTTGTTGCCCATCGGAATATATGATTTCTCAGGCGCTGTTCAACTTTTTCGGAATGCGCCACGAACCACACATAACCGCAAAATTGTAGAGGCCTTTGTTCGACTAGTCATACTTACACTTCCAATCAAATCTCCATGTCGTTTAACAGACCGCAACGAGATAAACAATAAACAACAAGTAGTTGGGAATGGTTGTCCTAGATGAAATGCGATCTTGCGATCACTCTACTTTTGAGAAGGTCTCAAATCCCAGGTCTGATAACTGCTTTCAGCCAATCCGGCAGCATCAAAATGGACTGCAGCTTTTCGACGGATATTTTTGCAGTCAATTACGAGAACAATTCTGGTTGAGTTCGTCGGAGCTCCGCCTCACTTCTGTTTCGAAGAGTATGAGGTGAGAACTGATGGAAAATTGAAAAAATCGCAAAAATAGATAAAATTCGATTCCCCATAAGGGTAAAAACATTATGAAAAACGGAGGACAGGGGAAAAGACCGAAAAATCTAAGATGTCATTGTGGTGTTGTGGAAGCCAAGCCGTTGTAAATGAACGCCTTTGTATTGTTAGTATAGCCCCTCCGCTTCTATTCAGTGGCCAAACCAACCAAATGCAATCGAATTTTCCAAAAAACTACCCTTCTCCATTCATGCGTGCCTTGGATTCCTACTCAACCTGGTCTATAACATTGGGAGTTTTCCGATCGGTACCTGTCTCCCCCTCGTCACAAATTCTCCTACTCCCCGGTTTTTCCCCACCAGATCCCCCTGTTATAGCGTGGCAGACAGAGTTCCTTACCTGATGTTCCCCTCAGAGTTTTGTAAGGCTTTGAAGATCCTTTGGGTCTGTTCCTTCCTGAAGTTTATTAAAACATGGGGAGAAAATCCCAAAAGGTCATGGTTTCTTGAAAAGTCATTTTTAGGTCCGTCTTCTCGACGAAACCGGCATCGAACTGCTCTACCATACCACAATCAAGGCGAAGGACATGAAAAAAGAGATCATCGATGGAAAAGCTGTATATTTCGGGGAGCATAACTTTACTGGATTAGAAGTGAGTTCATGGTGATCAATTCCTCCTCTGATTCATTCGAAGTGATCTTTGTCTTAGGATATCCTGTTAATGTGGCTGATTAGTCATACCGGATGTCGGCACGTAAATGTGACTCGTAAATAATCCGTTGGACCTCATATTAATAATTGACTTTGCCGTTTAGTGATTCACACTAGTCATACACGATCACCAGATCGAATCCCTTAGAAAGCGAAGAGTAAGTTGAAGACGAGGGACAGCATTTGGCAATGAATAAGGGGCAGGATCTAGGTTCGTAAGAAGCTGAAACGGCTCAACGGATCCATGAGTTCATGAAGACTGAAAGGGTTGGGTACATCACCCGCAAAATCAATCAGCGAACAAGAAAAAAGTGAAAAGCGTGGCGCGTCCTTCAGCGATTGACACGCACATAGCATTAGTTCTTTTCATTCGGTTGATTTGTGGTTGTGGCGGATGTGATTTACAATGATAATACGACAATTTCATTTCAATCAGTCAATTTTCAAAAATTAAAAATTGGAATACTCATCGTTTTTTTTTCAACCAATATTCCAATCCTCTTCAATAGACGGACATTTGACTTTTTTGTCAGAGTCTTGAAATTAAATGCCTTTTTTGAAGCGGAAAGTAATTTTGATCTGATTTCCGAGACCTTGGCAAAAAAGGGTTGTGATGCCATTCATGATTCCTTAATGCAGAATAAAACCAAGTAAGAAAAGGGCTACCTGTCGAGCATCATTGTACGATAAGTAACCCACAATACTCATTTATTTATTTATTTATTTGTTTATTTATTTACTGTTTGATTCATTCACTTATTCATTCATTGTCCGTTATTGTATAAAAAGATATACACATCTATTCATAAAGTTATTTCCTTATTTGTGTATTTATTTATTTACTTATTCCTTCATTATGCGAGGAAATTTGTATGAAAGGAAAAGAGTTTTTGAAAGAAATCAAATAAAAGTAATACTTTGTTATTTATTAATACTCAAGTAAAGCAATTTTCCTTATATGTCTACCAATTACAGTATGACGTCGACTACATCCCGTCGGTGATTCCGGTAGAAATGTCGTCGGATGGCCGTTGTCTGTGTCCGACCAGTGAACAGCACGGAGCATGCAGTTGTGTAGCAGCCGACTGGAAACGAGTCCGCTTACACCGTAAGCAGCTTACGATCGATTATTGATTTATCAATACGCCGAGTGGGCGTGTGTGATTCGACTCCTGAAAAAAGTAGAATGATGATATACCCATGAAATGAAATTGGGTTGAATACGCTAGGCATTTTCAGGGATCGAAGCACCTGCACCTGTGATAAACGTTACTATTCCGACCGTTGTACGACCGCCAGATGAAAATAAATACTGGTAAAGAATTGAATCTACTTTTATTTTCTTGTTTATTTCGAAAAATTTACAAAATACCATTTTAGAAACAGTTGGTATATTAACAAAAAATCTGGTTAGTAGGTCATTCTAAGGACTAATGTGTTAGAGATTACCGTCGAAGCACTTTCATGCTATTACCCTTCAGAACCTCTTCTCATTCCATCTCTCAACTCTTGCGTTGAAATTTCTCAATCTAATTCCTGTGGAAGGGTTATCGAAAAGCCGCCTGGCTACGCCACACATTCGGCAGTCTTTAAAATTAGCCGACTTATTTGAATTTGTTTTCGACCTTAGGAAATTTAATTCGTATTTTCAGTCTCTCAAGCCTAACTGGAGTCACATGGTTAAGTTGAAAGGACAGAGGGTCTGATCTATATAAAGTGATCAATGAACCCTACTTGTAATGGCTACTCCCTACACTCATCCCAGCGTACTCCTCTCCTGCGTCTCAAAGAAGTGTTGCTCCCACTAGCTCTCATCGGCACGTCATTCTTCACCATCTGCTTTCCTTGCTCGTTTCACTTGCTCAATAGATCTCTTCATTTCATGCTATATGGGGTAGATGGGAGTAGTATAAGGGCAGTAAATGTTGATTGATTCCGTCAGGACATACAAGCCTCTTCTCACTGTAGACAGTCTTCTATGGCCAAGATTATGTAGAAAGAGATAGAAAGCGTCTATCTGAGGATTGCACACTTTGTAATGGTTGAGTGAGCATCCGGTCTCAAGAATGACTCTGTGTTTCGGATTGGTACAAATCCTTTTCACTAGGGTAAACCGATAGGTTCGTCTCTACCATTTACCGTGCTAACCGTTTTCAGGCCACTCTACGCCATCATCGTTGCCCTTTGCCTTCTACTCGCTTTGTGTGCGATTATTTCAGTATTCTTAAAATTCTACAGGAAATACACAAAACGTGGAAAGGTATTGATTTGTTGTTTTATTGATCGATGATGCTGATCTTCTCCTAATAGGTAAACGACTTTTTTTTGCAGTCCGTACGCATACGATTCATATCTGATCACATCAACAGCAACGGTATGGTGGCAGCTGAGCCACGAGCTCCGCTTATTTATAACTGTGAGTTTACTATCAGAAACTGTCCTCAAATCGGAAAATTCAAGAAAAAGGAAGTAGATATGCTAGTTCACAGATATGGTTCTGGTTGAGCATTTCATACTGTAGTTCGCGTAGATCTACTGTACGCGGTGATAGCACTCTCGCTGGCGTGTTGCGATGCAGCTCTTACTTTAGGAACCGCTACGCTGCCGCACGCGAGTGGGACGGGCTCTATTTTCTGTACTGAGGGGGGGGGGGGCTCTAGAAATGAGCAATATTTTATTTATTATTTCCGAAAGATCACAGGAATAGTTCAACACTTCAATTGATTTTCTTATTCATTGAAAACATTTTCTAGATATTCAGTGCATTGTCACCCAGTGACTGAGAAATTTTCAAATCACAATAGGAATAGATACTGAATGAAATATTCGAGGAATGATTTTTCAAAAATTACCTTCAGATCCAACTACCGTATTGCTTGTCTACAGTCATGACTGCCCAGAGCACGACTCTGCCGTTTTGGCATTAGCTGAATTGCTCCGAGACACCTTCAAAATGGATGTGCATGTAAGTGATGGAAGAGCCTCGATCTATATATCGATTGACCGTGACAGTATGATATTTTCAGTTAGATGTTTGGGATGAGAACGATATTGAGAAAAATCTGAACGAGTATATCAACGCCAGTATCGTAAAAGCCGACAAGGTGAGTTTGAAAGCCGTTCCGAGTAATTAAGTAATTAAGTTCGTCATAGCTCGCGAGGCGCATTATCGAGTAAAACTTCAATTAAGGCTATCTATAACTTAATTGTCTGGTATAGCCTAAGTCTCGGGTACGAAGTCTCGAGCCACTCTGTTTTTGGCTCCTTTGCGAGCATTCGGCTTCTCCTTTGATGAACCCAGTTTCAAAAGGCTGGCCCGTAAAAATGGAGTTGGTAAAAACAGCATTTGAACCGATTTCGTTCATCATCACCGGCCTCATATACACGCTGCTTCCCAGCGCTCTCCTGCTCCTTTTCATGGTTATAGTTTCAAAATGAATGTCGTGATCGTAGACGTAATAAACTAACTGGGATCATTGCCTACCTCTCTAATTTCAGATTGTCGTGATCAATTCGATTGGAGCATATTATCGAGTTCGAGCTCGTTATCTTGGTGATGAAGTTGTCGAACGGGTTTATAAAACACCTCTGGATGGGCTGTTCCTCAGTCAAATCGACTTAGTTCTACAGTAAGCGCTACAATCTCACTGTTTGTGGGGTCTTTTCTGGAAAAAGCTTTTGAGGAAACAAGAGACGAAATTTAATATAAAAATGGCTTGAGATTTGGAAATATTTTGTCATATTTTAGGCATGCCCGTGTCATCTCGGCTCGATTCAGCTACACCCCACCCAGCTCGACCTTGTTTGCCCTCTCTCCACTGCTACAGTACACAATCCCGGAAAATCTCGGCCTTTTCGTCGCATCCTTGGGCGATTCCCAACTTAGAAACGATCCCCGGCTAGCCGGCTTCAATCCGCAACTAGCACGTCTTCAGACAGCCATTGCCACCATGTCGCATATGATCGAAAGTGATCCAAAGTGGTTCGAAAAGTCACATCATCGTGTCCGACGTGACCCTGTTGCTGTCACCGCTTCACTGGATAGTAATGTTGGAAAGGAGTTGTCAATTTCGGAGCCAGCGGTACAGCCGCTTCCATTCAACGGACCCATGATGAGCATGGCCCCAACTTCTCCTTCAGCTGGAGCTGCTGTCGTCGCCGCGCCGCCTCTGGAAGAGGATGCCAGGCCGTTGCTTGAGGAGGAGGTCGAAGAGGTACGCATCTCTTACAAACATTTTCTTGGTGTTTTGAATCCAAATGATTACGGTACAGTGGATTACGGTAATTCTTTTCGCGAATTTTCAGAATGAGATGATGGAAGTGAAGCGTGCTCGTGATGATTCCTCAGCTGATTCCGCTTTTCACAGTACGAACGTTGGCGAAGAAATACCACCCGTGAGAGAGGTATTTTCCAGAAATGAATTTTAAGTTTTTGGGCGAGTTTTCATGGAGCTTCGTTCAGGTCCTTGACAAGCCACGATTACTGGATCGAAATACTAACGACTCCTTAGATAACTATGGAGAGATGATGGCACCGATTGAATCACCAGGTCAGAAGCATCGACCAGCCGACAGCAACGATTCCGGAATGGTCAGCGATCTGATGAGTGGACAGTTATCCAGTTAGCAGCAGTCCAGCTCTCTTTCCATCGGAGAAAAACTGTTGGAAATCGAAATCGCTGAGAGGTCTTTCGGGATCGCGCTCAGCGTTGAAGAAATTGCACATCGCCGTTATCCTACGGTAGAAATGGTACTGTATGTAGGACCACCGTAATACCAAAACAACCTCAGTCGGTCCTACCATAGTACTTGTAAATCCTACGCTAGAAATTAGGCTTACAAGCATATACATATGGCATATATTTGGAAAAATTCTATTATAATGATCTCAACAGCCGGTTGGTCTTATTGTATGCTGTGTGTACTCTATGTATTTGGTTTTTTTTTGATGTCATTTTTCAGATAATTATTGCTATATTGAAAAAATTCATTATCCGATACAATAATTTCCGTTCCTATAGACGCACTTACTATATGAAGGCCCAAGGGCCTATTACTCGTGCTCCCCCCTCCCCCTCCCCTTCCTCTTTCTTCTATGTCGCGGGCTTCACACGGGTTCACCTACGGCACCGCAGCAGTAACAGGTCGATATATTGATTGATTAGTCTGGAAATTTGTAATTTTAATTGCTGGCTGTAAAAAATTCCTTGTACAGTGCTGATTAGTAGTTTTTCGTGATTTTTTTCGTATTTTTGCTATGGATTACTGCAGGAATTGTAATAAAAAATCTTTGTAAAATTTACGAAGACAGATCGTATTACGCAATATTACGGTCGGTCTAATTTCCGAAGAAACATTCAGAGAAGTTTAGCCACCCACTTTTTTCAGATCCACCCAGTTCATTACAGATCTTTTCGGGGGACGGTACGAACGTGCGTCCGAGGGTGCGCGCGGCGAATTGAGCGGCAAAGTTCGTGACGGTTTGTACGACTGCGGCGCCAACTTTCGGGGCACAAACTCGAAGTAGTGTAGTTTATTAGGGTAGGATGATCCTCCTAATCCATTCTATTTGAAATTTGGGCCCCAATGACAGGCGCCGAACTCGTTCAAACCATTACGAACTTCGCCGCGCAATTTGCCGCGCGCATCCTCGGACGCACGTTCGTACACATACCCGATCTTTTCAGTCAACGCTGCTCCTTTCCTGCGCCCCTGACATTTCTCTTCCCTCTCTTGCTCAGACATAACCAACACCTGCAAAACACCAAGAAATACGTCAGGGACAAAGTAGATGAAAGAACTTAGGGGTTTTCATGCGTTTTTGTCATCGTTCGCATACAGAACGTTATGCACGGTAAACAGTTGTAACATCGAATGCTATGGGCCGATGCACCGCGTATGTGCAGAAGGGCTTGCAACCGGGGGGCCTCCGTTATGAGAAGTAAGGGTTTTCTGGCAAACTTCGTATTTTTCCACTGAAGATACTGAACCTCCAGGGCAGTTAGCCTTTTTTTGGTCCATCAAGAATTGTACGCTGCTGGGGCAGGAAAACCCTCACCCATGTTACAGAACTATTAAGTGGATGATTCAAAGACCACTGGCTAGCAATCATGTTTCTAGGTCCATTCCAAAAAATACTGATAAATGATGCTCGGAACCATCGAAACAGCGAAAATCCGGATTGTGCCATGTGCTCGATTTTTGTCAATTTGGGGAAGCTTACAGAGTTACTACATCTGTGTATCTAAAGCCCAACTGTCCTGCTCCGGGTTTATTTTAACGTATACTTAAAAAAAAGACGCTCACAACGATCAAAATGGTGAGGATCTCAGGATTCTGCAGCAACTTGTTGAATTTTTTCAATTCGTTTATTATTTTGATTTTGTAAAATTGAGAAAGGTATTATTACTGTGCTTTACACTGATGCACAAAGTTAAAGAACGATGGAAACAATGGTGGAGGGAGAAATGAGCTCGGAATGATTCCAAATCTATCTATCTAGAGTGCACTTTTTCGGACAAGATTAAGCTAGAACTTTAAAACACAGGTCTCATTGTTAAAGTTAAAAACACAGATCTTTAGTTCTCATTTCTTTGGAACTGACATCGGAAAGTCCTTTCATTCCAGCTCTTAGATCCGTTGTAGATCACATGGGTCTGTTTTCTACTTGCTCCATCTCTGGTCGTTCATTTCTCTGTCCCTTCTCGTCTAGAGATTACCATTAACTGGACCCAGCATGGATACGAAGCAGACAGAACAGATGTGACGCCCTTTTTTCGACGAACCACGACGTTAAGTTTCCCATAGGTGTTTTTTTGGCACCAGGATTTTAGGCGGGTCAGTATGATATCAGAGAATAGAAGGTGGTCAAGTGTTCTCAACAGCATGTTGGAGCAGATGCTTAATCTTTTTTATTTTTGAAAAGAAGGGCGGCCTTGTTCTTTTGGGCTCGGGGCCGAGATCAGAAGATGAGATGTATTTCCTTCCGAGCTGCAAATTTTCAAAAAGTCAGGAATGTTGAAGCTTAGAGGCTTCTAAGGTGGCTTTGCGGCTTATAGTTCAACCCGAAAGTGAAAGAAATTTTCAAGAAGAACAGAAGGTAGTCAACTAGATTCACTTCTTTGTTCGACGTAGTGGCTACTCACTCATCAGTACCAAAAAGCACTTGCTCCTCAAATTACCTGCTCTCAACAACCTTTGCCTGCACTCTCTGAATCAATGAATTTTACAAGTTCAACAAGGATGACATACGTTGCTGAAGGTCCGATGGGCCGGCGGGCATTTCGGCTCAGCAGGGCCGAGCCCACACTCCCTCCATTGGAGGGGTGTGGGCTCGGTCCTGCTGAGCCGCAATGCCCGCCGGCCCATCGGACTGCTCGTGTAAGCTGAAGCTGGCTTCAGCCTCCATTAACTAACTGGCAGGCTGACATATCCGACGGTCAAGGGTAACCGTTGTAGTTTCATGGTGTAGCGGATAACAATCCGGGGCCCATTTCTGTGAGGTGACTGGTTCGGGTTCGAAGCATTCCACCATTTAATTTTGTGCTTGAGTACGCATAGGAGCGTATTTGAGCTACGTCATACCCGCATCAGATTCCTTACTTCATTCATTTAACTGAGTATTTCAGGATCCCCACTTACTGGCAAATCATAGCGCTTCAGTTTTGAAACTCCATTAAACTCAAAAGATGAATATCAGCAGTTCAGCCCCCACTTAGTCTAACAATAAGTAAACCATTTTTCTTCCACAGAAATACGCAAGAATCAAAAGGTCTACTTCTTCAGTTTTTCGGTGCTTTATACTTTTAGTTAGTTCTTCTTCCTTTGAGAAGGTAGTATTCCTCTGCTGACAGCCCTTTTTCTGAGCCGATGTGTAACCCAATGGTAAACTGGTCCCGTAACCATCTCTGCGTGCGTATCTCGGATTTGTTTCGCTGATGATTATACTTGATCAAGAAGAAACAGAGAACAGTATGAAGGTGAAGGGACTGCAGTACGGGATGACAGTATGGGTCAAGGAACCAGGCATATTTGTACCACTTAACTACTCGAAAAATGATTCATTCCATAACCGCCGAAGTTCGGCAAGTTCGACCCTCCCCTGCTTCTCTGAGGACTTCAAAGCCACCAGAGGAATGACACACCCAATGTTTCAGACGCCGCAGGATGGTAACGTGACCATTTTACCTATGGGTTGCACATCGGCTCGGAAAAAGTGCTGCCAGCAGAGGAATAGCAGCTTTTCGAAGGAAGGAGGATTTACCGGAACTTCAAAACTCCCCAAAATTGAAAGAGAAAGTAAAGACTTCTCGATTTTGCGTAGTGTGGAAGAAGAATGGCTTACTTATTGTTAGACTAGGTGGGGGCTGCTAGTTGCTGATCTTCAACTTTCCAAAGCCGCAATGGATTAGCATGAACCCTCTACATACGGTGGAGTTTGGTGGAATTTCAAAACTGAAGCGTTATGTTTTGCGAGGCAGATCGTAAGTAAGAGGACCCTGAAAGGCTCAAGATAAATTGCTGATGTAAGGAATCCGATGCAGGTATGACCCAGCTTGAATGCGCTCTTATGCGCAAACTCAAGCGCAAAAATAATGGTAGAACGCCTCGAGTCCGAACCCGTAGCTTCACAAAAACGAGCCGGGACTCTTATCCGCTACACCATGAAATTTCAGTGGTTAATCTTGACCGTCGGTTATATCAGCCTGCCAGTCAGTTTGATGGAGACTGAACCCTGCCCCGGCTTAAGCGAACTGTCCGATGGGCCGGCGGGCAATTGCCCGCCGGCCCATCGGACCTTCAGCAACGTATGTCATCCTTGTTGAACTTGATAAATTCACTAACTCAGAGAGAGCAGGAAAAGGTAAATGCGAATGGGTAGTTTGGGGAGCAACTTCTTTTTGGTAGTGATGAGTGAGTAGCCACTACGTTGAAGAAAGAAATGAATCTAAGGTCCGACTGCCTTCTGTTCTTCTTGAAATTTTCCTCCACGGTTGGGTTGAACTATAAACCGCGGAACCAGCTTAGAAGCCTTCAAATTTCAACATTCCTAACTTTCAGAAATTCGCAGCTTGGAGGGAAATGCTTTTTATTTCTGATCTCGGAATAGAGCACAAGAGAGAAAGCCCCTTCTCCTTTCAAAATTTAAAAAGTTTCAGCATCCGCCTCAACATGCTGCTTCCAACCCTTAACCACCTTTAATCCTCCTATGTCATACTGACCTGCCTACCATCCTGGTTTCCAAACCTTTGACGATGGGGAACTATGCCTTGACGGTGTGTTCACTGGTCTTCACTTCTATTGTGTCTGCTTCGTATCATGGGCTGGTTCCAGCCATGGTGATCTCTAGACGAGAAGGGACAGAGAAATGGACGGTCGGAGATGGAGCAAGTAGAGAACAGACCGATGTGATCTACAACGTATCTACAAACTGGAATGGAATGACTTGTCGATGTCAGTTCTGAAGAAATGAGGACTGAAGGTACGATTAGGCTTCTCCTACTAACCTCCCTTTCCACTGCCTCTTGCAGAGAACTGTAGAGGCACTGGAAGGGGTGGTCAGTTTACAAGCGCGTTCCGATTATGTCCCGCTCTAGGGATCCATACCAGAATGAAGCATGTCCAGAGTTATGTGTATAAACAGCATCTATACGGTATTAGTAAGTACTTCATTCGAGTAGGCCTATAATACTTGTTGGTTTTCGTCATTACTTTATGACAAAGGAGTACACTGCTTTTACTCAACTGTAATTAGTTTATTCATCCGTTTCTGTTTATTTTGAGCTGGTAAACTTCAGATTTTTGCCCTGCATGGTATAGTTTGAAGCTGTGAAGAAATTGTCTTGCATTTACAAAAAATTTTTACGCAATTCTTTATTAAAATAGGACGAATCAATGGAAGGAAAGACAAAAATACGAATCTCAATGTGTGAACCATACTCTACTAGCGTTTCTAAATAAAGGACTTCCCTCCTCAAACTTTTAAAATAGACAGGCTAGCCTGACAGAAAAAAAAACATTGTCAAGATAAAAATCCACTACAAAAATTAGAAGAATACTCTATTTGTACTTTAAGATGCTGGCAATCCTTTGCTGTTCTGAAGAATCGCCTCTATAGCATCAGCGATATACTGGGATCGATCTCGCTGGAGGAAGTGACCACACTTCTCGAAGTTTATTGAAACCTAAAAAGGTATCAGGTATGTATGCGCATCAAGCGATTTTCTTCAGTCGAATTTCTTGATCAAAATGACCTTGGAAATTTAATCGGTATTCAACTTTGCACTTAAATGAGGAAATTTGGTTGCCCTAGTAAAAAACTTGAGAACTGGGCCAACGGCTGCTTTCATAGTCCGCCGGCCGGCCGGCCGGCGGACTATGAAAGCAGCCAACCACTCGAGGGCACATGTCACGATAATTTCGAATATTTCACGATAACTTCGAAGAACCTCACAAGCTGAAAAGCGGGAGTATTGGTAAGCAATAGTGCGTTTGTGGCCAAGAAAATGAAAAAAAACTCTACAAAATTAAAAATATAGGGTACCTTAAAAGTTGCAAAACTAGGGGTTGTACGAGATTACCATAATGGAAATGCTACCGGAGGTGTATTTGGACGAGATTTTGGTTGTCACAATAGCGTAAAGAGCTAACCACATTAGGAAAGAAATGTCCAAACCTTTCTTCCACTCCCGTTATGGGTCACTACTGGTTGCTTAAACCCTCAAGAAGTGTTCCAGTCTGAATGGTGCTACAATGCTTTGAAACTCGTCCGCTTTGGGGTGTGGTATGCAGCGATATAGTTTTTGCACCCTTTTAGCGTCCTACCTAGGCCATCTTTCGATATAACATACCACACCTGCACTCTAGGATGCCCCAAAGTCATCCCAGAAGGATAACTCGGGGAACGATTTCTACGTTAACTGCGCCTCTGACATGCAAGAACATCCAATATCAACGGAGGTAATCTTATTGTCAAGTATGCAACTAACATTGAGAAAATTGAAAAATCTCGTCCAAAAAATTCAAAAACTCATTAAGTCATCATCTCGATAAATGGCAGTAGTTTTGAAAGTTTTGATAAACTAGGGCGAGTTAGGACTACTATAGGCATGCGGTATGAAACCATCAGAAAGTAGCCGTGTCCGCTCCTGCACCCTCCATGAATTGAGAGAATAAAAAAATCGGAACTCAAAGTTGATTCAGAAAGAACACCTTTTAGCCCATTATCAATAAAAACAAGATTGCAACTTACTGTTTTGGTTCCATTTGAGAACATGTCCCGTGTTTGTTGTGTAGCTTTGCTCTCTGTTAACTCATCGTCATCTTCACTCCTCTAAACAAACTGTAGAATTTTGTATAATTTCATTTTAATAAATATAAAGTTATTGTTAGAAAGCACGACCACCTATCAGCCTACTGGTTCCCATGTGGTGGCCACCATAGCTGTATACACCTATAGTGGCCTGAGGAGGTCAGATGATAAGTGACACGGGAGGAATAAATCCTTCCCCCACACGTTCCCTGTCAACTAGCTAACACCAAGATATTGACAGGCTCTAATGACTCGGGTGAAATCCGCAGCGACATTTGTCACTACTCCACTCCTGCCTTGAATGTACTATTAGGAGAAAATCGCAGCTTCCACTTACCAGCTCAATGTGATCCTTGAATGCATCTGCCAGCTCTCGTGAAATACTTGTTTCAATGAGAAAGTCCTTACCGGAGTAAGCCACAAGTACACGAGCCTACAATGAGAATTTACTTCCGAGTAGCTCTACAACCAAATAACTCTACGAAGTGATAAAGTAGGTAACTACGAATGTAGGTAGCCATGTGGTAGCTGTACAACTTACATCTTGTTTTCGATTGATCCGATCTATATTAGGTAGTAAGCCTTCAGCAAGTTCGATGTGTGACATCGTCCGTACACACATCATTGCCCTTTCACCAGTATCTAATCGAAGGCCGATTATACTGTTGTAAACTGAAAATACGATAGACAAAGCCTTTCAATCGAAATCGTTGAAAATTATCTGCGAAAAAAAAGATCTTGAGCACCGATTTCCTCGAAATGTCGTAGCAAAATCTTCGATATGTCTAAATATGGGGGATGATCTTACTCGGGGAAGGATTCGTTGCTCTTTGGGAGGGAATTTTCTTCATTCAAGTTGCTCCAACCGCGAGTAAATAACTTTCAAAAAATCTGCGGAGTTGGCAAAACCGTCGACGTTTTTAGAGCCGTAGAAATTTTTATGGAAAGGGTTAGCTACAGTTCTAAATTTCCATAAAATATTGCAATTAAACTCTGGAAAGGCAGAAGTACGGTAGATAATTTTTCGGGAAAAAAACGGTCAAACCTTAGCAAAAAACTTTTTCTGATGCTGTTTGTTCTAATGGTCATTTAAAGGCACTGTTCGCGATGATTCCATGGGCGGGTGTGTCGATGACGTGTCCGCCTCTCATTCGATGTCACGTCAGACATTCTGACGTGGCGTCGAACGAGAGGCGGACACGTCATTGACGTGCCCGCCCATTGAGTTATCGCGAACAGTGCCTTTAATGATAAATGTGATAGCGAATAATTTCAAAAAGGTATAAAATGTGAAATTTGGAGGAACTTACAGTACTTCATGACGGTATGCATTATTTGCTTAGCAGTAGGTCCAAGTGAATAAAGCCACAGAATGAAATCGATTACCCAGAAAGGTCGTAGACCTCGATGAAGACGAAGTCCAGTAGGGTTGAGGAGCACAAGCCCAACTAGGGAGTCCTGTTAATTATTGTATTTCAGAAAAGGGTTTTAACAATGGGTAGGATAACAAGTATATATGTAGTAGTATGAAGAATTTTTCGAATTTTCTCAACTGGGGGATCCTCCGGTAAGCTAGCGCTATCACGCATCCATCAACGACTTAAAGTACTTGGGTTTCGCACAACTGGGACGTTTTTCAAAGTGGACGGAGAAAGCGATGTTAAGGGAACCTTCATAAAAGTAGCGAACGGCAATTTTCAAGAAAAAACGGAAAACTCAGGAGGAGACCCTACTTATACATCCTATCCGAATTTTAGCATTACTATTAACCCTCTGATTCAAGCCAATCACCCAGGTCACTAAAAGACCAGATTCGGCTATTGCGGGTACGGCCGGTATAGGAATCCCTTTTAGACCTCACCTTGCTCTTCTCTGACCAGCCTCTAAAATTTTTTCTGCATATTTTTATCTTGTAATCCCCACACCAATGATACTAAGCCCTCGCCTTCACTTCGGTAGCTTACAGTAGCCCTACAGGTAGGAACATACCGTATTCCTGGCAGCCACAGCAACTGCATTCTCGGATCCTCGGCTATGTCCCATAACTACTAATCGTTCAATATTACCGATTCTGTTAATCAGTTCACAAACAAAGTTATTACGTTCTGTATTGTCACACCGAAGTCGAGGGTCACCTGGAAAGAGTTAGATTTGAAATATACCTCCAACAGAAAGAAGAGGATTTTTCATAGGAGTATTTCAATACATAGTTTAGTCTACTGAAATCTTTGCTCCCCCCCCCCCCCCCCCCCCCCCCCCNATTCAAAACGATGAAAGAACAAAAAGAGTACAATAAATGAACCTGGAGTGGAACCAAAGCCAGGCATATTGACTCCGATGAATCGTATTCCTTTCTCATGTAATAGAGGTGTCACATATTTGAAATCTTTATGAGACCCTGGAGCACCATGTATCGCCACTACCGTACCCAGGCGAGATCCAGATGGGGCAGTATCCTAAAATCCAATTGTGTCTCAAAAATAAATTTGCCGACAAAGCGCTTGAATCTCTTGGCACCCCTGATCAGGATGGAATCGTACATACCTGATACACCGCCTCGACAGAAACCTCTTCACCAGAGCTGGTGTTGAACTTGACATCGATTCGCCTCAGAAGTGGATCAACCATGTTGTTGGTAGCAATCTCCTGGAAGTGAGGACACGACTATAATATCTGATGGATTTTCTTCTGCAATGTTTTGAAGCGTGACAGGGATTACTGCATGAAGGCGCTACCCATTCGTATTCCCATAACATATCCGGCTCCTTCTTTCCTGCTCTTTTACCCTATACTGACCGAAAGGTATCCCCATGTTTGACGCATACTTCTATACGAGTTCAAATCCGACTCCTCTATGTCACTGCGCTCCTGAAACCCATTGAAACTTATGTCAAGCATTCGACTACGAAGCCCCATCTTAGCGGTTCCATGCCACTTGATTCCAACGCTTCAAAGCCGTGAACAAGAAAATCGCAGGCGAGCTTCGAACCCGTGGGTGAGTGCGACATCGTGAAATCGTCAGCTAGGTTATGCGCATAGGAACGGGTGGCATTCTTCAGCAGTAATTCCATGGAAAATTCTGGTACAGTTCAGAGAGGGGGCCTCGGCCCCGAAACTTTTGGCAGATACTTATCGCACACTCCGATAATATGAAGAATAGACCTTACTGGTAAGTACAAGCTATAAAATGGAAACTAAACTAGCGAATGAACCATTACCTCACATTTTGGGTGCTCAGAAATTTCTTTAGCTGTGGAAGTAGACCCCATCGATACAACTGCCTTGTTGAATACGCCGAAGCAATAGGCATCGAATGAATACCGGAAAAAATGTTTTTCAATTTTCTAATTGCAGCAGTCTGGGGTGAAAATTTCGCTACAAAGGGGCTCCAGCCCCACCTACGCTTGCATAGCATCATGCCTATCTACTACGCTACCGAGACTCCACAGGCCTTCATTGAGCTCAACGCAGTGTCTGCAAGCATGGGTTCTAACTCGTCCAAGGCCGAGCGCTTTCGCCCATCTAACAGTCAGTATCCGTAGGGTACATAAATGAACAAAAGGACCTAACAAACTCGTCTCTTGTCATTAAAAATCAGAAAAGATGAAGAGATTACAGTCTTCACAATTACTGGTAAAGGAATTATGAAAGCAGATCAGATGTCTGAACCTGATTGAAATACAATGGATAAATCGTAAAGTCTCCTGACGCTAATCAATGACGATCTTGGGCCGCGCCATGCATCTGGCTTTCATTTAGAATCGTAGTCGGGTTTGAATGCGTATGTGCCTTCAGCCCAAAGCTAAAGGATCCCGTTCTGGACCTGTTCACCAGAACAATGAGGCTCACTCATTCCAGTTAAAACTATGAAAAAATAAAAAATAAAACATTAATAAAATAAAATAGTTACAAAAAATCAATAATAAAAATAAAATAAATTAATAATAAAAAGGAAATAAAATAAAGTGAAAGCATAGTAGACCTAAAACGATGTAACAATAAAATTGTAAACAAACCAAACGCGGTATTACGGGTGGGCGCCGGTGCTTTCTAACACTGAGCGCTAGAGCGCAGATAAGGAAGGGTAGCCGACTTTGCGAGCCCATAATAGTGTATAAACATTTTTAGCAGGAAAATTTAGGTTTTTAAATACGCTCCAGAAGGAAGAGAGTACTGGGCTAGGTGAGCCAATTGAACGTATAATTCTCATTTGATCCCTCAGCTTTTCGGACGAGAAAATCTTCTAACCCACCTAGGTGCTCCTCCCTTATTAGGGCTTAATTTAAGAAGAACGTATTCGTTAGATTAAGATCATTCTCTGAGCACAATTAAAGCCAACTGCTCTTCCTTCTCTGCGTTCCAGCGCTCAGAGTTGGAAAGGAACGTGCCCCCAACTACATTTCCACCCAAAACACTCTCAAAATAAAATAAAAAAAAATCAATGGCATACTAGAATACTATAGTTAACAAGCCAGAGAACACTACAGCGAAAAGTTGATCGATAGGTCTCGCTAGGTGGTTCACACGGGCAGGCAGTTACGGCGGTAGAGAACAAAGTACGCCTGCCATCAGCAGCTCCAATGACACAGGCTGCTGCATAATCTACTGCTTTTATGGTTTTACTACCTTTTATCTTCTTTCAAACAGCATTACTTCACCTTAGGGCACTCCATAACTGGTAAGCACTAAGGACCTCATGAGTACACCTATAACTACAGGAAAAGATTTTTGGAAACAATTCTTCAAAGTTATAAGAAAGAGGAACTGCACGGATCTCATACTAAAGCTTTCCTTTGGAAATCATCCGGAAACCAAAGGACATTTCCAACGACTACAATGACTTGCGGTGGGCCAGCCGATCTAAATAACAGTGTTTTTATCCTCCCAGACGAGTCCGGTACTAATTATCAGCCCCGGAGGGATGCAAGGCCTGGTTGGCTTAGGCGGATATCGATCCGAGATTCAAACCAGTGAAAGAAAAAAATATAAATCAAAATTAAGGAGTACAAATTTAAACTTCAGTATCACGAAGAGCATGAGAACAGGTCTTCTGTGAGACTTTTTCTAAGAGAAAACCTGATTTTCCGGAGAAACCAGCTAAAGAGCTATGTCCAGTTGGGAAAAATTCAGACCTAATTGGTTGTGCGTTTAAATGAGCAAGTGATCGAGATCCTTGTATGCTATGCGTATACAGAAATGAAGTGTCCTTATATAACAATCCTATGAAACATCCAGAGCCGTATAGAAAAAAAATTAGTAGTGTGAAATTTTCACTAATTTTTTTCCAAATTACTCAATAACATATGTATAACATAGTAGAAAAATAAGGTAAAAAATGAGCAGTAAGCTTTGATTCCGATAGAAAGGGTTAAAGTTGAAATGTAGCGAAGATGTGCAATCTATCGAAAGGAACCAGGTTACAATAAAAGCAAAGATTACAGTTCTGATTAGCTATCAGGTCAACGGCTACACTCGAGCCACTTATCAGTGCCTCCGCAACCAGTAGTTACCTCTTCTTATGAAGCATTTAGTAAATTAACATTAACTTTGGTAATTTTACTTCTTTTCGATTTATTTATAGCGAAAGGCATGAAGATGTTGGTGCTGCGCAGTCTCGAGATCTGGATTGCGCCATAGACTTGTTTTGCACACAGCTTTGGTATTGTCATTTAAATGCCTACTCAACCTGATCAATAAATTCTGGAGATTGTTGCTAGCCACATAAGTGAATATATATTTTCTTTCAGGCGAATTTAATATTTAATTGACTGATCACAGAGATATGGAAGACACCGGAGAGGTCAGATAGCAATTAGGCCTAGGAGAGCTTGAATTTTTGAAGGAAAGCTGAGCATGTAAACACAACTCTAATGTCTAAAGGCTAGGGAAGGAGCCGCTTAAAGTGGATCATTACTGCTTTTGGGGAAGCGCCTCGCAACATTCCACTTTCCTTCAGAAAAGGCGTTAGAATGCTCACTCTACCCATAAAATGAATGGCCCATTCAACAAGTCATGACTTTTCTCTCCGGGATTCGATCCCGAATCACGTTCATGGTAAAACATCACTTCATGCTGCACTATCTCTGCCCCTTTTTGTAAGAGGTAAGCGGAGTTAGAAGCGAATCAGCGACTCCTAAGGCTTGAAATCGGGGACCAGAGAATTTCAAAGAACAATGCCAGTCAAATTATCAAAACGAGGTACACACTTCGAGGTAAATGCCCCAACTAAAGATTGATGTTTGACAAACAAAATCGTGCATTCTTAGGTTTACTCTCGTATACAATACAGCAACAACTGAAGTGTTTAAATGAGACCACTAAATACAACAACATCATATAAAAGTAACAGCAATTTCTTCAAAAAAGAAATTGAAAAAACTGAAACAAATTCATCGCAAAATTCGGCGACAAAAAAGGACTTACAAAAACAACGATTTTTGATTCTCACAACAAGGTCCCACCTCCTTCTATCGCAATTAATTACAATAAACACCTGAATATAGCTCCTGAGTTACAGCTTTANTTATCAATAACAAGAAGATTACAAACAAAAAGCGAATTGATTCTGAAACATTCAACGCCTACACAAAGCTTTGAGTATGACCTCAATCAGCCCGCAGGATTGCCTCAATAGAATCAGCGATATATCGTGCTCGATCTCGTTGGAGGAAATGACCGTCCGTTTCGAAATTGATCGATATCTGGAATAATGTCGGATTAAGAGGCTTAGGAGAAATACTTCGGCAAAAACAAGCCTCATTTGAGGTGAGAAAGTGTCATATGAGGTGTGAAGGCATGGCTAAAAAATGGCAGTCTTAATCCATTTTTAAAATGGCCTTTCAAGTAACAACAGAAATTGGTCAAGTAAGGCATACATTCAGCAAAACCTCTCTGATTCTCATATTAGACCTTTCTTGATCCAAAAGCTATCTTATCTCCTCTAATCTTTCATCCAAAAGTAGAAAAGCTATACTTGCGTATATCAATAACATAAGTAGAAAACACCGTTTCCCAAAATACAAGATAGTGCCAAATTAGAGATAAGATAGGACTTACAGTCTTGGTTCCTTCTGAGAAGAGTTCACACGTCTCTTGTACGACCTTGTTTTCGGATATTTCATCCTTATCCTTACAACTCTAAAGAGGGATAATTAGGCACTCCTGGAATAATTCACCACAAAAGCCTTTTGCAGGCTCGAATAGCTTTTTCTCCTAAGCAAGCATATGATCACATTGAAAACTATGACTAGAATGCTAATTTTAAAAAACTGCGGAAAACGATGCAATCCATTTTCTTTACAAAAGTGCACTCACAAGGTCTATATGTCCATCAAAAGAGCAGGCAAGTTCGTGGGGAATCTTTGTTTCAATGAGCATATCCTTTCCGGCATATACCACGAGCACGCGAGCCTGAAAAACCAAAACCTTTCTGATAAGTTGTAACCCGAAAAGAAAATGCTGATTTCATACATTTTTGCACTTATTAATACTTTCTATATGGGCTCGTATCCCTTTCTCATATTCAATTGATGCCATCGTTCGTACACACATCATGGCTCTTTCTCCTGTGTCCAGCCTTAGCCCAATAACATTGTTGTAGACTGAAACAAGTATTTCACATGCATTCACAGCAATCACAGAGGTTCTCCCACTCAGAAATTTAGAAAAATTGATGAAAAAGTTATACATTGGGGCAGAAACTCACAATATTTCATAAAAGGATGTAATACTTTCTTGGCAGTCGGTCCGAGAGAGTATAGCCATAGAACAAACTCGACCACCCAGAAAGGACGCTGTGCTCGATGACGTTGAAGGCCGGTCGGATTCACCAGTACCAAACCAACTAGTGATTCCTAAAAAAATGCTACTGTTACGAAATGTTACAACTTTTAGAAGAATTTCATAACCTCCACTCCACGACAACCTCCACTATATGCCAAATAATCTACATATATCAATAAAATAACAATAATAGTGGAGGAATGTGGTTTAAGGTAACGATAAGTGGGAGGTGGTCAGCGGTCCCTTGCCAAGTTCTGCACGAATTTTCCTTTTCTCCTTCGTTAGCTCGTTGCCCGCTGCTTTCTTATCTGACCTCTTATTTGAACTAGAGTGATAGCGCAGAGGTCGTAAGACTGATCATGAATTTCTACCAAAAGGTATGGATTTCCACGCACATAGGCTACTCTGCTGGGGGCCAAGGACTTATTCTATGACTGAAAAGCAATCAGAACATTGAAAGAAAACTGACCGTATTTTCGGCCGCTATGGCGATAGCGTTCTCACTTCCTCTGCTATGTCCCATCACCACTAATTTTTCCACGTTTCCGATTTTTGCAATTAACTCATTGACAAAACTATTACGTTCTGTATTATTGCACTGTAGACGTGGGTCATCTAAAAAAACTCCAGAATAATTGCAATGAACGAATTTTTGATTGAAATACGGGGCGAAAATTTATCTGCATGAAATGAAATGAGACATCTCAAAAAACATAGAGGCATATTCGAACACACCTGGAGTAAACCCAAAGCCGGGCATATTCACTCCGATAAATCGTATTCCTTTGTTTTGAAGTAGAGGAGTTATATACTTGAAATCTTTGTGGGAGCCTGGAGCGCCATGTATTGCAACAACTGTACCAAGTTTGGATCCGGTTGGTAAGGTATCCTGAAGTAAAGGTTAAATGAGAACCTCAAACTTTGAACAAGGAAAATCGGGGTCGTATCTCTAACATGTGCTGTGGCTTACACAAGACATTCTTCCTAATGTCTACCAATGATTAACACTTCAAAGTACCACTGGTCTAAAATCCCTTTTCCTCAATCGGTCAGACTTCGAGATCGGAAGATATATGAAGTTCAATTAACAGACGGGGATTTAGGCTGATCAAAAGGACAAGTTCGCGGATGCGAAAAATTGCAAACTTATGGAAAACGCCTCCAAGTAGCACATTACGGATGACGAGAATTCTTGGAAACAAAAAGAAATATAGCTTGTTACATCCTTGTTTTCAATCGGGTCAAAAAAACTAAGCCATACCTGGTAGATTGCTTCCACGGCTATCTTATCACCCAAACTTGTTCGGTAATTCACACCAATCCGTTGCAGAAGTGGATCCATTGTTTTGGTTGAGTTTACCGCCTGAAAAGTTCGCACTGCTGTCATGAAAAATATACAAACTATAAACATACCAAGCGAATTACGAGCTACGAGTAGGAAATCACATTACTACATGGGTAATTACGTCACATTTTTCGAGCCCTGAAATCTTCTCGACAGCGGGAATCGATGGCATCGCAGAATCTGCCTTGTTGTGGTTGTCTTCGCAAGTGTCCAGACCATTGAGCACACTATAAAGCGATTTTGATTTTACAAATGTCTAATTAAATGAGAAAAACCAGTGTCGCATAGAGAAGGCTAGTAAAAAGCAGGATGACAAAATTCAATAAGAGCTTTTAAAAAGAATACAGTAAAGTTAATTAAAAGTCAGGAGGGGAATTTACTGTGGGAGTTTTTTCTCAGAATAAATGTGGCGGCTGCGTCACGTATTAAGACTGGAGCGCGTTATTTTTGGAGAATTTCAAACTGAGTTCTAGAATGGGTACCCACCACAAAATGCTATCCAAACTCAAGAATTCAGCTTTGCAAAAAAATACTGTCTTCACTCGTCCCGTTCTGGAAGTTATCTTTGCGGTGAACTGATGATGTGTTCATAAAATGAGAATCGTAATCCTATTCAATTTCATCGACCACAAGTTCACTGGACATCTGCTTTCTGAGGATGACCGATGTTTTCGTGCAGGGCAAGAGATACCAGTGAAGTAGACATAGATTTACTATCCCACCCTCTTCTCTCCATCTAAACCTATTACACCTACAGTTTTAGAAAATCAGGATACACAACAAGTGACCGAGGAGAATAATTTATATGTATAAGGCAGATTTGGACCTTTACCCAGTTCCGTATACCTTGGTTACTTCATTGGTTTTACCAGTGGGGTAATAATGTTACGAAAGCCTCACTGGAGTATGTCGTCGTCTGAGTCGACGATCCCGTCCCTCGTCGCTCTCTGACTGTCTGAGACGGCGTTGGGAAGCCAACTATGATTAGGGGGGTCAAGCGGGCGGGGCCACCAAAAATATTAGATATTTATACTTCCTATTTTGAGCCTTTACATTTACATTTGCACTTACATTTACATTCGGTTTTTATTGCGCCACTGATTGCTTTGTTGTACAATACTTATAAATCTTATCACACGCAAACACCACTGAACCACACGCACAGAGTACACTTCCATCGCTAGTATTAACTGACACTCATCAACTACATCGACCGTTGAGTTTTCCCTTTATGAACAAAAAAAACTTTTCTTTCTATCTGTCAGAGTTCCATCATCCATCGCCTGATGGTGTCATGCATATCTGATTACCAATAATAGGTTTACTTTGGTCCACTTGCGGTTCAAGGGGAAAATTGCACAGTTTGACAGCCTTGAAGAGTTTAAAACTCAAAGGACCAGATTTAATAAATCGAGTGAGGAAACTAGCCAAAACTTCAATGTCTGATGGTGATTCAAGTGCTTCAATGTGAAGCAGCAATGCCAACCTCTCGTGTCGTATACATTCCGTGGTGAAGTATTCGAAAAAGGTATTTCTTTCTCCACAAACTCAACAGTACTTCTTATTGCGAAAAACGCTCTGTATTACACTCAATTTATTCATAATAGTTTATTTCATCTTAATTCACAACGACAGAAATCAACCAATATCACAAAATGTGAAAATATATGGCAGATAAACGTTGGAGATACTTAGTAGTCAGCCGTCACGTCATAAATTGCGAACAGGATGGATACGTGTGCAGCAAGAGGCTCGAACCATTCACATCGCGCGGCGATAATTAGCTAGTTGTCTCGCCGGCGACATGCCGCTCGAGTCCAATGCTCATTATTCAATTCAGATTCGTATGAACAACGCGGCATACTACTCCATAACCAACGCTATAGAAAAGTAACAAATTAAAAAGGATCCTGCCTATATCATCGAAAATCGATCGATAACAGAGGAATTCAACGTAAGCGATGAGAAGGAGTCATATATAAAAAGCTCTGGGAATGCTAAAATAGGCAACATTCATCGACGAAGGAATAGGCGTATAAGCACTTACACGATAAGACATCATCAGCTAGACATCATAAAGAATAAAACATGGGTATCGATTGAAATTCCGCGCCAATCGATACGCATGGCACGCATTTAGGCCGATACTTATTTTGTACAGCTCGTCCAAAAACAGAAAAAAAGGATTAGATGTTTATGCATGCACGAAATCAATATTCACGGCAATGTACATGAGTAGCCTCACAATCTAGTGACTTGCCATTGAAAAGATGTAATATGAATCTCTGCTCTGACGGTGTAGTGCAGGATGCCCATTGCACATCAGAGACGCAGAGGACTCACTGGTGAGTTGTCTGGTCCACTGCAACAGGTTCACTGCTGCGCGTCGGCTCTTAAGCACATGCCTGGATACGCAGCCAAAACGTGATGGTCGGCTCACCCCGTACTTCTATGATTTTTGATGTAATTTTTCGTGGGACGCCCCTGCGTCTCTGCCCACCGCATTCTACCCTTGCTCAAGTATCAATTAAAAAATAGATATAAACATGCTCTCAGAAGACTAAATACGAAACAGAGAGGTGGAAGACCGTTGATTGAAGTATTACCAAATAAATTAGCTCTGATTATACTTCAGCTTAGTGACGACAGTTCAATTATGAAGAGGAACTCGATTGAAAGTATCATTGAAGAGGAAGGAAACAGCCTATCTGTGAATACGGAAAGAAAGACCGTAAGCAACGCAATGAAGTCTTAAAACTTACAATCTCATGAAAGTTATTTCACTAATTCATCAATATCATTCATACAAATTATGTTCTTAATCACTCAGGAAGTAATATTGAAAGGATGATCGGTGAAGAACTATCACAACCGTTCATTCACTTCTATCGGCACCGCGATCTACAAAATACAGGAATTGATTGGCTGGACGTTTTTGTGAAACAACATCAATGGTTTCTATTTCTAGCTCGAGGACTGAAGGATAATTATCTCTTATTCTTTAAGGAGGCGAGGGACTGGGCAATATTCTACCAAGCGCAACCGCGACGCGGCCGCACGCGTACTTGGAGTCATTTCTCGTCGAGTAGTGGAAAACGAGTATGTGTCCCCAGATCCCTCGCAAATCCGAAAATTCAGGGGGAGCACGATTCTTTTGAATACCTGACAGAATTCCGATGCTAGATATTATAAAATGCGCGTAAGGAGCGCTCAATCGTGATAAGACTCACTGAGGTTGGATCAAACAAAAATCGCATCAAAACGTAAGGATAACAGATTTGAGAGAACGCCACAAAACCTCATAAAGTCATCGAATGTTCAGAATTCGTAGAGCTTCGCCATTTCGTTGAGAGTATTAGCCATTTTCTGATAGAAATCTGCCTGTCGCTTCAGGAACGTGTGCATTGTCAGCCGGACATCCTCGATCTAAAAAGGATATACTCAGTATACAAAACTGGAGACCAAAGTGTAATTGGAGCGCACAGGCGAGTACAGAAGTAGATAGAGGTCACCAAAAAGCGCGGCGAATCCTAGCTAGTTGTCTTGGTGGGTAGATGCCGCGCCGCGAGACAACTAGCTAGAAATCGTCGCACGCTTTGAACGGACCAAGATAACACGTTGCTCGTGCTTCAGTCTGGGTTCATATTCTGCGAACCTGTAACCATTGAAAACATCTATCTATTTCTCTTAAGAAAGATTATCCTGGCGCTTTCGCCGATCAACAAATGATCCGCTTTCTTTTGAGATAGAATAATACTACGTACCTTTTCTGTATTCAGATGGTTCATTTCAGCCAACACTGCATAGCTCGTTGAATCAACACGACGCTTTATCCGTTCAGCATCAGCATGTGATAGCTTAGTCTCGTTTTCCCTGTACTTTTGAATAGCTTGCTGAAATGAAAGAAGACAATCAGTGACCAATTAAGGATTGTGCTTGCGAATTTGCAGACTTTGCAGAGTGCAAATGCAACGAAGAACAGCTTTTCATGCAATTGGAGTAGAGAGGGCGTCGGATCCATCTGAAAAATCTGTCAAAAAAATTGAAAGGGAGGAACGTGCTCCAAAACAGGCGGACGGGGGCGCCGGGCTTCGGAACTGAATTGCCCTAACGTAGGAAGAGATCCGCTCAAGGCGGGCAGCGGACCCAAGAAGAAAAAGTAGTCCGCTATCATGAATAAAGTAAGAAAGTCGGCGTTATAAGAGGGATACAAGGCTTCTAAAAAGTAGAATTAGGGGTTGGACGGGGAGGACAAAAGTTGCATGGAAGGGGTATTTGGACGAGCCGTCCAATTGAGTGTGCCATTGCATATAGCTGGCAACTGTAAGCTGCTTGCGTACAACGTGTGGGTCATGGTGTGCACGGTGCAACCTCCACAGCCTCAACAATGCCGTGAGAACTCGTCCACCTGCAGGTGTGTAAATCGGCTAAACCAATTTTGTGTCCTTCTTACGGCCTACCTTGGCCGTTCTTCGACCTAACAGCGTCCTTGTGCTATCCTTGGGGGTCACAGGTTTATCTAGAAGAGCACTTTCAGAGACAGTTTTCATTGTGAACAAGTCTTTAAAAGGACAACGCTCATTCAGTTCCGCGACTGTCCGAAAACCGAGAGAGACGTGCAAACGGAAAACATCGTATAACCACTCATCATTCACAAGTAAGCGGCCAAAAGTTCTTTAAAGGCAAACAAATAATGACTCAATGCATTACCTTGTGTACATGCAAAATATCAGGGGCCGTTTGTATAGTGCCTTTGAAGGAATACAGACTTTCTGCTACTGGTTCCATGTCGTTTCGCGAATGTAACTCGAAATCATCACCGATTTGATGATAATGGTGAGCCGTCTGTTTCAAGGCATCCACCATACGATTACTTCCTAAATATCGATAAGTATTGATAAGTGGAAAAACTATTGAGACGAATTATTTACTATTGGCCAAATCATACAAGCAGTGGTCTCTGAAGCAAGCGTGTGCGCGTGGTACTTGAGTATGAGCGGTCTGGAACCCATCATGAAGAAAGTTCCCATATTTGAGGCTGAGGGGCCGAATACAAGAAATGGGTAAATAAGGGGAGGGCTTCGAGCATCGTCATGAGCATACTGTTCTGTCGCTTTGATAGATAATCAACTACTTTTCTCATATCCTCAAGGTCACTCGTTAGTCTCCTGGACCTAGAAAAGTTAGGTCACTACAAAACCTCTACTGACCGATTTATCCAGTTTTCGGGATGCTCCCCACATTCGACTTCAATTCAGAATCAGAGGGAGGTTTTGATTGCGCTCGTGATTTATACGTGCGATGGTCAACCGATGTACAAGTCAGGACTTTCATTCTCCCAGACGAGGCTGATACTGAGACTTAGCCAGTTAGGGACAGAAGACCCACTCACCAGGATGATCGTCGGTGTTGAACGACTGCGCCAATGTGACAAATGCCATTGCCATCTTTTGCCAGTTGACTTTTACAGCTGAAAACCATAAAACCATCATAAAAAAAGGAACATAACAACGTCAGTAAGCAAGAGCTAAAATCCGTTTCTAAAACTAACGTCCAACAAAGAGTTTCTGGAAAATGCTCAATCGCTCTTGCATCACCCTCATAGCATCTTCAGTCGACTTTACACTTCGATGGAATTTTTCCACTTGCCGCTCCCTGCAACCCAATCGATATATCGATCGAGATACAGTATGAAATGGGAGGAGTGGATGGTCTAGCCAAACTCACACGTGTCCAATATCCAATGGAGATTGTGGTACAGTAACGCAGTTAAAGAAATTACCACCAACATACTCATCCTGAAATTGCTCATAGAAAACGCGGCGGGTGAAATGGATAATAAATGAGTAATAAGCTAAATTAGAAAAATTCATTTAAAGGACATTTCGTCATTGGGTCCTCCATAGCTCATACACACTTTCTACAATTGAGGTCACCCAAGTGCTCCAGTCTATGGGTAAATTAAATCTTTTCCAGAAAAAAAAACTTATCAAGATCTATCAATATTGCTAAGCAAGACGATTAGGGGTGCGCTTCGTTGCGCGCGTCCGTCAAAACTAGGTCACGCCGCAGCCGTCGCATACGACGCGACAGCGCGCGATCTTTGACAAACGTCTCAGTTGTCTGTGGGGCATACAATTTGCGCTTGGTCCACAGCAGTCAGCCAAAGGGAAGATATCACGGACAAATGCAAATCATTCGCTCCACTGACACTTGGTGGTACTGTAATGTCAGCTCAAGACCTNAGTTGGGGTGCGCCGCGCGCGGAGTAGCCGGGGTGACCTACTTTCGACGGACGCGCGCAACGGACGTTCTCCGGAGATCAGGAGATGGGCCGCGCGTCTGTCTGTATAAAAAAATCATGTGGTGGGACTGGAGGACTCACTTTTTCTGCCTTTCTTTTCCCGTTTTTCCATTCTTTTTCATCGGTGCATGTGATGAAGTGAAGCCATACCTGCAAATGATGATTTATAATGGTGCTTAAAATGAAGCAATCAACTGAAAAGTAGCAATCGAAGGTGTAGGCATGGCACGCTCCCGTGTTTGGGTCCGCCTTAGCGTGTCCCTCCACTACCGAAGCGAGCTTGGCTTTTAAAGTAAATGTGTATGTCTGGGGTTCCCAGTCTCAAGCGGCAAAAAGTGCACAAACGGCTCGAAATTCGATTACATGATCAGCATATCCGTTCACTTCAGCTATTCGATGGTGAAAAGGACGAACCTCGCTCTGACTCAACACCGGATGGCGACAGATTTTATTCACCCATAACTGCAGAATATGTTTCCGATGGTCGATGAGGTCGTCTTCATAACGCCCTGAAACCAATGGCCACATAAATATATATATTTCCAAATTTTTGCCGTAGATAAACAGTAGAAATGAGAGGAATTTTTCCGTCTCTACTTTCAGTGAAGGTCAATCGCGACAGTCCGGTCACGGTTACATCTCAAAAAGTGAGGACATACTCATTCTCGAATCTTTTTTACCATAATTTTCTCCCAACACGGTGTTTCATGGTAACCGTGTGAAGCACGGAGACCAAGGGCTCAGTACGTATTCGAATTTCTGCCGTACCCCCATTATAGTTTCGTTTTGATATTGGACAAAAAAATTTTAATGGTGAGCCCGTACTATTCGAAGGGTTAAAGGCACAGTTCACAATAATTTTGAGGCACTTCTTTTTACTCGAAAAGCGGAAAAATCGGTTGGGAATAGTTCAATGGTATTGAAGAAAGCGAGAAAGTTCGCCGTCTTCGAGAGAAATAAGGCTCCTCAAAAGTAGAAAAATAGAGGTTGGACGAGTTCACCGTGGCAGAAATAACATGGAAGGGGTATTCGGACGAGGTTTCAGATATTGCAATTTCACAAAAAGCTGACTACATTAAGCCAGAATTGCTCAGAACTGTCTTTCACTGTCGTGGGTCATGGCAAGTTGTTTGAACGTCCCCATGGTTCTCTCGCGATCGGTGCAGCCTCTACAATGCCGATGGAACTCGTCCGAGGATTCACACTAGCCGATCTTTGAGCCTTTATAACTTCCTAACTAGCCCTTTTTCCGGCCTAGTAGTGCGAGATATTGTATAAGAGGGGGCATCAAATTCATCCTATGGGGAAAACCCAGGAACCATTTTTATCGTGAACTGTGCCTTTAACGGTGGTGTGAAGCAATAAAGGGGTCACGATAAGAAGGATAAGGAGTGGGATGGATCTAAACTCAATGAGCGCATTCATAGAAGGTGCAGGTAGCAACGTACGTGCTGACACACGGCAAGTACTGACACTCGGTGCGGATACTGACACTTGTGAAAAACTGGCCATCGGCGCAAGTACCGACGACGGGGGTGCCGGTACCTATGTCTTCTATGAATGCACCCAGTGGCCGTCTAGTGATAGGCACATTTATCGAAAAGAAGGAAATGAACTAACCTGACACCTGTTTCTCTGGAAGAGGTGGTATCGCGATCATTATGTACTTTGCTGAGAGTTGATCGTGCAACCAATCAAAATGCTTATAACGACGTGAGACCTGTAAAGAATACCAGCAATTATAATGGGTACTGCATTGATTTAGTCCAACTTTGATCTTTCATTCAAAAAGAAAAGGGTAAACCGTT